AATATTTGGATGATTAAGGCATCGAGGCTGACGTGTGAGGGGAGGATGAGCAAGCTGGGAGCCTTTGGCCTCAGGATGAGGTGGTGCAGGAGGGATCTATAAATGTGTACAAACACCTGGGGGAAAGGATAAAGAACACACAGGCAGGCTTTTCTCCCTGGGCACCAGCTTGCACGGTAAGAAGCAATAAGAACAATCCCAAATCCAGGAAATTCCACTCCAACAGTCCAAAATTCTCTGGTTTCACTGTGAGGGGGGTCGGACAGTAGAGCAGGTTGCCCAGAGGGGCACGGAGTTCTGCATCCTTGGGGAATTCAGAGCCACAGTGGGCAGGGCCCAGGGAGCAGCGGGGCTGGACCAGGGGATGTCCAAAGGTCCCTTCCAGCCTTTGATCCTGGAATTGTTTACCCATGGAAAACAGAGGCAGACACATTGAAACCTGTCGGGATGCCCAGGATATCTGTGGGAGAGCTGGAGTCTGTCCCACTCCAGGATGTTTCTTGATTGAGAGATACCCCTACTCATTATCACCGTTTTTTTCCTCATTATTACAGTAGAAAATAACCCAACATACAATTTTTTATTTCCCAGATGCCCAAGCCATTTGAATTTCCGTGTTTTACAGCAGCTACTGTGGAAAAGTCTATATGCGAAATAAGCAAGGAATAAAACCACAGCCCGGTTTTTCCCTCCAAATGATGGCAGTAAATGTAATTGCTGTGTGTGTTGGCCTCGCAGCCTGCCCAGCCGACCTTCCCCGGCCGCTCCGGCTCACTGCCCCCATCTGCTGGGAGCAGCAGCGCAGCCAGGGGCGGAGGAAACTCTCCAAGCACGCACGGAGTGGTTATTTGGGTTATTTTTATGGCCGTCTGCTTTGCTGGCTGATCACAGCTCCATTGCCTCCAGGTGACTTTCGTGAGGGCACAGCAGCTTCTCCCAGCCCGGCCCGGGCTGCCACAGCTCTGCGAGGTTTGGGGACAGAAACCTTTCCAGCCCCGTAAACCTCGCCTCTCCCCCGGTTAGGAATGCTGGGATGGGGCACCTGAAGTCCAGGGGCTGTTTCTAAATCTCACCCTTTGCCCGAGTTCCTGCTCCAGATTCGCCCCTTAAGAGGGGGAGGGAGTGGGATTGGAGGATTTTTCCTGCACTTCATGTCCCACACAAAGTTCATCATGCTCTGACTGTGCCTGTATTTCACTGTGACAGCACAGCCCACGCTCGGTGCATTCATCCTCCAGATCCTGTGCAAGAAAAGGCAGAGCTGAGTCCCCGTTCCACAGACAGGGTCAGGGGGAGGAGAAGGTGCCACTTTTCTGTGGCAGAAAAGTCACCAAAGTGGGTCCCCAGGTCACTGCTTGGACCTTGGGACTGCACTTCCTCATTTGCTGGAGGAAGTAGTTATGCCATAAACTCCTGGCATGGAAAGAAAAAAAACCAATTTTTTTCATCATCAGGCTCTTCTCCTTTGTTTCATTTTTGAGCTACTTGGGAAAGCAGGAAAAAAAAAAAAGAGTAAAAATTAAGCACTTTAATACAGATTCAAGTTTGCAGATTCATTTCTAGGTTTGAAATAGAAATTGATTTTCTCCTTTCACTGAGTGTCCAAGGTGAGCTTTGTTATTTTTAAAAAAAATTGAAATATATTTGAAAGTCTGCATTCTTTTCTACAGGCCCCTTTTTCCTTCCAGTAAGATAAAAAAGAGCATTTTATATTCTGGCATTTTATATTCTAAATTTTGACTGACCAGAACAAAATGTTTTTCCAGCAATATGGGTTTGCACCTAAACCTTTTTTTTTTGCATTGAGTTTGACCTTAGGATGTAGAATTTCATAAAACATTTATTGTCTTCTCCAGTTTTTAGAGCACAATTCCCCTGTGATACTTTGTTTTCATCATCTGCTCTGAGAAGGATTCCAAGGCTTCTCTCACAGTTTGAATTTTAATTGTGGGTGAAGGAAGGAACCTCTGCTACTTGCAGCAAATTAAGGAGTGTAAGAAAGAGGTAAAGAGGATGAGGAACAGAACCAGGAGTGTGAAGAGTGGCTGTGGCAGAGATGTTCAGTTCCATAAATCAGCAGTTTTGCAGTGTCCCTCTCATCCATGCTGGCAGCAGCAGTGATCCTTTTCCCTCAAAAAACTGCAGCTGATGGAGACAAAATGAGTTAGAAAACAAAGCAACCAAACCTGGGCTGTTCGAGGCACACAAAGGCAGCTCCAAGGCAAACAAAGAAATGTTTTTCCTCCATCCAGACCCCACTGATGGCTCAGGCTGGGTGCTGCAGGTTTACCACTAAACACTCTCCAAAGATTATAATGCATCAATTATCAAAGGCATCCAGAGGTACCACTTTACTGATATTGTTAACGAGCTTGGCTATAAAGGGATTTGCAGCCTGAGTTTCATGACAGAGCCAAGGTATAATTTGCTCTGGGCTATAAAGGCCATGAATTATTGAGAAAATTTACTTCCATGGCTGCATTTTCTGTCTGAGCACAAGTGCTCGTGCTGAGTGCGTGTGTGAGAGCAGAGACAGTGATGGAGGCTCAGCCTCAGAGTCCATCTCTCCCCAGCACAGGCTCTTTCACACAGCCAGCAAAGAACAGCAGAAAATAACTGACAAAATGATCATTCTGAACAAATGGGAGAAGAAAAATTGCATGCTGAACAGTGCCAAACTGAAATCACAATTAAAACTGCACTTTGGGTAATTACAGAGAGGGGCTTTTCCCTTAGAGATGTCACAAAGCTTGTGTGGATATAATCAGGCTTGAATAGACCCAGTGATGGTGAGAAATCAGAATTCTGAGATCCTGCATCAGGCCAAGCCTTTGCCCTGCTGTGGGACCAACCTGCCCCTGGTGTTCTTTTTAGAGCTGCTTTCTTCTGCAAGTGAGGCTTTGGAATCACAGATTCCCAATCCATTCCTGCTTCCACTCTGCACACCCAGCTAACAACTTCTGAATCCACTGAACAATTCCAAACAAAGTGATAAAGAATTGTAGGTTTCAAAAATGTGAAGTTCTGCCTGTTCCATGAAGGGGAAGCTGTGATGAGGGATCTGCTCAACCCTCCATTGCAAGGACTCCAGCATGGCACCACCCTGGAGAAGGCCAGTCTCAAGAAAGACCTTGATAATTCCCTGACTTTGAAGGTGACACAGCAAACTGAGCTGCTTTTGCGTGCAGAGGGAAATCCGTGTTCCTGAGGGCTGATGGGGCAGCAGCTGCTGGTAACAATTTCTGAATTAATGACCCATGTTACAAGGCAAGAGCCTGGGCAAACCATGAGATTTTCCCACCAGATTATACCGTTATTCCTAGGAACTCACAGGCATTCGGGGTTTTCCTGGGGTTTTGCGTCTCCTGTGACCAAGAGAACGGAGCTGCCAGCCGGGCAGGCCCCGTGCCAGCGCTGCCAGGGCACCACGGGCAGGGCAGGGAATTGGAGCCTGGAGATTCCCCTGCTCTGCTCCATCCAGC